GAAAATTGTTTCATGATTTCAATAACATGTCGATGTTAGGACAAAATACCAAATATGATACTCTGGTTCCAGGAGCTACAAGTTTTAACTTTGAACAAATATTGTTTTCCTAGGTGAAATCAAAGCCTCTGGAACCCAGGTTAATGTGCTAACAAATGGAATGGAAATACAATACTTATTGTTTATACAAGTTTTGCATCTAAAATTTCATGGGTATGTGTTTTGATTTTGGTGGGATGACTGACCCGTCTTGTATGGCTCCATTTACTTCGGCAATAAAGGCGTTGTTTTTGTTTTTTAAAAATTCCTTAGCTTCGTCGTTGAATTCTTAAGCATCTTGCTGGATTTGTTGGCTGTCGTTGATGTAATAAAAAACTTGTTGGAGCTAATCATCGTCTCAGTAGCAAGTTGTTGTCTTGCGTTTTCAACTTCGCCAGATGTTCAGAAGCAAAGAGCTTTCGGTACAGCTAGCAGAAAGCGGTCTATCAAGCCTTGTCCTTGGTCCATTCCAGCAACCAGTTTAGCTGCATTAGGCATTTGTGTGCATCCAAGAATCACGAAAGGAGTGTTTGCAGGAATATTACGATCGTGTTCTGTTGCAAATGTGTAAGAACACATTTCGCCAGAGAACAGCTTGCATATAACAACATTGCGTCACCGCTCGGATTATCTTCATCATTTTTCAGCAGCTTATTCAGTACATCGTACACTTCTGGAGAAACTATAAAGGTTGCCTGCTTGGAGGAAATGTGTTTAACGAGACCAGAGGAAGTAGGTCTGTCGAGAATAAAATCTCGAAACTCGTTGTCCAACAGGGAGGCAAGGGGTCTCAAACAACCATGTTGAATAGCAGAAGATTTTCCAGTGCCAGGATAACCAACAAAGATCCTGTAAAGGTTCATCGGTTGTTCATGCGTAACAAGTAGCAACTCTGCAGGATTTTTCGCTGACAAGAACGCTGTTGTCGAAAGCAATACAGGCACGATGTATCCAATAGAACTATTAATCGACGAGGCTTTTTGATGTAAAAAGGTCTCAACATCATCGGGAAAAAGTTGTCCAAAGGAGGTCCAAAAGTTGTCCACAACATCTGACGTTCGTTTTTGCAGTTGCATCTATGTGACTTTGCGTTGTTGAGAAATTTTCGTTAGCGGATTTTTTGTAGCCATATCTATTTTTGAATTTGCTTTGCCTTAAATGTGTAAGTTGACCTTCGAAGATTCAAAGATGTTATAATTAGTTTTTATGTGAAGACGCTTAACTATTAAATACAATATTGTGACATTTCCGATGAGGGCTTTGTTTTCTGTGAGGTATGATTTCTTTAGGAATTGCATTAATAGAGATTGTAAAAGTTAAAATTAAGGAAAAGTGAAAGCACTAATGGCGAAAGTGGTGTGGAGAAAGCAGTACAAGTGTGTGTTAAATCTACGAAGAGGTCCAAGCATTGCGAAACGCAAACTGTGGTTTCATCTTTTGAAGTAAAAAGCGTGGGAACACAGTGTGGAGAGGAAAAGCATTCTAGTTATAGTCAAGAAGATAGATTAAGGAATGAAGTTCTAGAAAGCAAGGAGGAAATCATACAATGGTGCATGGATGAAGGACTAATAGCAAAATCTAGACTCTGTTGTCATTGTGACAGCCAATGAAACTTGTCAAATGCGAGGATCGCTCTGATAAATACAAGTGGGAATGCCGTAAAACCGTGAATGGCAAGCGACACAAGGTAGAGGCATCAATTCGAAAAGGCAGCTGGTTTGAAAAAAGAAACATGACCCTCGAAGAAGTGATAAAGTTCACATACTGGTGGTGCCGTGATTTAAGACAGGAGGAAATACAACAAATTGAACATTGCTACTTATACAGCGACTTTATTGCCGATAATTGAAAGGCATATTGTGAAAGCCACAGTGATAGTATCGGACTGCTGGAAAGCATATGTAAACTTAGAAAAACATGGGTATGTGCATCAGTTAGTTAATCATTCTAAAGAGTTTGTGAACGATTGGGGATATCACACAAACAAAATTAGAAGGACATTGGAAACAAGCCAAATGCAAATTGCCTTCATTTGGTGTTCGAAAGTATGCGTTTTCCTCGTATTTAGCAGAGTTTTTATGGCGTTATGAACACAAGGGAAAAGATCTATTTGCAAATGTTCCTTTCAGATATGAAAAAGCTTTATTCTAATTTTTGAATTGGTGTAAAACCTAATAATGATATATTTTAATGAAACTTGTTGATATGTATGATCTTTATTTGTCCATTTTAACTGTGCAGAGTGAGTTCATTGTGTAAACACATATCCACTATATAATGCCTCTATGTGATTATATTGTTTATCTGTGTACCCGCGTATTTGTTACATAATGGCGTTATGTGATTACATTGTTTATCTGTGTATCCGCGTATCCGCTACATAATGCCTCTATGTGATGACATTGTTTATATGTGTATCCGCGTATCTGTTACATAATGCCTCTATGTGATTATATTGCTTTTATCTGTGTATCCACGTATCCACATTGGTGGAATGCAGTAAATTATAATATCACAACAATACTGTTTTTCTCCGCTGACTCTATTTTTTGCGTTGTAAGTTTAACTACGTATCCACATATCCGGATACATGATGTTGTCCACGACTGTGGACGGGTATTCTGCAATCTAGCCATAACTTTTAAATAATACATGTTTAAAGATGATGTAAAGCCCGTTCTGTGCATATACTCTCCACAGCAACACATTCCATCAGTGGGGGAGCAACTTTTGGAATGTTAATGATATGCAATATTAGCGCATTGTAGTGGACAGTTGGAGTTACAAACTTGCGTCAGTATTGCTTGACAATGGACATTTTCATATGTGCATTGAGCACGACGGTCACACATTTATGAGCTCCGCATTTAAACTTACTAAAATTCAACTTAAAGCCTTTCCTCGTCAAATATTATTATGCCTGAAACGATAACCTCCATAAAGAAGGAAAATGATGCTTTGAAGCGACAGATTGAATTACTGCAGAAAGATTTCAGCAAACTACAAACCATGATTGAAAGTAAAGAATCATCGAAGTACGGTGGCCCCTATGTGCAATACACAAACCAAAGTCACAATTCAAAACAAAATGTTCAGTACACATATCAAAATAAAAGTTCACGTAGAAAAGTTTCAGTGCGCGACAAATGTGAGAAATACACAACAAAATATCTCGAAACACGTTGCAAAATTTTGTACGAAACGTGAATACTAAACTCAATACGCGACAAAGATTGCTCTCAGTACAAAACAAAATGTTGCATCGGGGACTTTTAGGGATCATCTGGGATATTGACATATTTCCCGTGTTATACCTGTATATCTAAGAGGTAACATGTAACAGAGTTCTACTGGTTCACTGTTTGTCCAATGTGGTACTTGCCAATTGGCGCGTAAACACAAACAATAACCAAATATTTCTGTATTATTCTGGAAGAATGGACCAAATTCCAACTGAAATTTCCACTTGTGAGGAGCTTATAAAACGCTATTTCAAGCAGGGATATAACTATGAGAAAATCCTACTGTTTTTATCGAAATATCATGGCATTAGAATGTCTTTAAGAACATTGAACACAAAACTTCGTGACCTTGATCTGAAAAGGAGAAACATTGAATACGATATAGATCAAGTTCGCCGTCGTATTCAGCAAGAACTCGACGGTCCTGGTTGTTCTGGTGGGTACCGTGCTGTTTGGCACACATTAAAAATGGAAGGTATCCAGGTTCCAAGAGAAGTTGTTCGTAAAGTTCTCAAGGAACTCGACCCTGAAGGTGTGTCGGAACGAAGATCTAAGACCCTTCGTCGTCGAATTTATCAAACGCCAGGTCCTAATCATTCATGGCATGCCGATGGATATGATAAATTGAAACCATACGGTTTCCCTGTGCACGGATGCATAGATGGTTACAGTCGTAAAGTACTGTGGTTAAAGGTTTGCAGAACAAACAATGACCCAGCCATCATTGGACACCACTTTCTAACTGCTGTTAAGGAATATGGGGGTTGTCCAACTATACTAAGAACTGATAATGGCACAGAAAATGGTATTATGGCTGCTATGCAGTCATACTTTCGAAGCAATGGAGATGATGAGCATGCTGGTATGAAAGCACACAGATACGGTACATCACCATCAAATCAACACATCGAATGTTGGTGGTCGTATTTACGTAAAAACCGCTCAAATTGGTGGATAAATTTTTTCAAAGATCTTGTTGAAGCTGGTCATCTTAGTTTATCCAATCAATTACAGAAAGAATGCTTGTGGTATTGCTTTCATGAACTTGTACAAGAAGACCTAACTTCTGTACAACAGCACTGGAATTCTCATTATATTCGCAAATCAAGATTTGATACTATTTCGCGCAGACCAGATGAGCTATACTTTCTTCCTGAATGCTCAGTTAGTAGAAATTACATACAGCCTGTTACAGATGAACAATTTACTGATATGTCTCAGTATTGTCATGATTATAATGAAGAGAACTGTTATCAGGAATACTTTAATGAGATTTCCAGCAACTTCATTTGGACAAGCCAACAAGCTGGAGACACTCTTTGGATCTATACCACAGGTTATGTGAAATTGCTGAAGGCTAGAGTCTACCAAAGGGTGATAAGGGCTTGGCTTGAACTTGCCCTTGTGGTGTGAATTGAAAGCAATTAAAAATTACAATGGCTGCAAAAACTCAAAATTCATTAATGCTGTAAGGAGGTCGTGAGATAAGTTACCATTAGTTGTTTTACCATTCACATATAAATATAGTACATTTGAGCATGTTTGTGCACTTGGAATGGTCTTTCCCTCATCATGTACAAAACTTATCATTGGTTTTGGATCAAAACCAATAGATGGTGTGTTGGCTGCCCCTGTCACAAAGAGTAGCATGTGACCTGGTGTTAACAGAGGAATGAAACTTTTCTCTTGTTCTGTTAATTCTATATCACTGTCTTCTAGAAGCACTCTTGCAAAGTACCATCTAAAATTGACAAAAATGTACAATTACATTTCACATAATTTTCACTGATATATATTTGTTCTTACATACAAGTAATAATGGCAATACATGTAAATATTCAAATTTATTGACCTTCAATTGATTTTAAAAAGGCAATGAATTTTGTCATCACTATTTCTTCTTTAATTCTTCGCTGGTTTCCTTGGGGTGAAAATGCTGGTTTCAATGTTTTGATCACCTGTTGAACATTCACATTGCCATGTTTCATGCAAGAAAATAGATGATGAGCCATCCCTTTGTGGTTTCTGACAAAATCTAATACCTGGGAAGAAAAGGTTCTCATTTTAATTTAACATAGAGAAGCATAACTTGTTACATACTGTTCGTGGCTGACATAAGAAGCATGCTTTTCGCCTTCATTTATTGGGCTAATTAGAATTAAGTATTTGAAGTCTTAGGTGATTAACAAGTACTGCAGTAACTATAAGTTAAAAAAAAATAAAACATGTTTTCAAACCCCATAATATGAAAGGCCTTGGATAAATTGATCCAGCATGGATTTACATCTGATGATCACAAAGTACTTGGTGATTTCATTAACCAATGTTGGTATTTCATTGAGGTTAACATTTAAAGGCAGCCCAGCAATATCTAGTTTCCACTCGCATGCATTCCAACAGTTGTTGACATCCAGTTGGGTTTTTGCCTCTTGTAACTAAAATGTGAAGTGTATGTAACTTCAGGAGTGGTAAAGTATTGTGCCCAAGAATATAGACAGTATTGGGTCTATCAGTGGCATGGTACTATATTGGTAGATGTTTGTGGTTATTGGTACTGGGCATTACAATTGGGGGAGGGTGTGACCATTTCCAGAACACTGAAAACTTTTGTGAATGTCAGTTAAAATGATAAAAATATATTGGTATCAAACAGACTATCAATATCACCTACACTTTTCCATTAAAGTCAAACTTGATCCCCATTACTACCCCAATACTCAATAATAATTAGGAATACTTTCTTTTCTTATAATGCTCTTGAAAAAGGACCTGAAATTGCTGGTCAAAAAGCTATAGTGTACCAACAGCCAATGCTTGTGCTTACCTGTTTTAAAGACTTTTGTACAGTTGCATCTGGTACCTCATCAATGTTCGGAGAGGCATTGTCGAATCCACCCTGAATGTATTGGCATAAACTGGGGCTAAAAATACGTGGTAGCTCTCCTCCCTGAACAATCATTGTTGCCAGCATTCTCCCCACCACTGAAAATGCATCACTTTGCAGAGCTTTGAAATTGGGCCTAATAACATGCCCTTCTGAAGTATCTAAAATGAAATTAATTTTAAAAACATATAATAATACAGTACCAACTTGAAAGTCAAGAAAAACAAGTGGTCAATGCTGGTTGCATTTCATGTACATACTGAACAATGTACCACTTTCTTTTGACATTGCTCCAAGTAGTAAGTGGAAAAATTCACGACGAGGACCACCATGGTCAACTGCGTCTTCCTGGCCTTCAAATGTTGCAAAGGTTACTTGCAACATACCACTTCTTTTCAGGAAACTTTTTCGTATGAAATAGGGGTTTGCTGTCTCCCAGATGCTTAGTCTGCTAACCACAATACTTCGTGTACCTTGAACCATCTTTGTAGCATGTTCCTTAATCAGCAAGACAACACTCTCATCTTCAAGGCCATTTGGGTTTTCACATGCCACTGTTTCTTCCTCATCATGTCCAAGTTCAAGAATACTAGCATTTATTGCCTGTTGGACAGCACTGTTCTCATCCAAACCAACAGGTCTACAAAGATTCAATAACAAGTTATAAATTCATTAATAGACAGATTTAGATGATGCATATGTAAGAAAACATGGCAATTTTTAATGAAAATGGTGTGACCTGCCCATATCATGTGTTGGCTGTTGACATGCTATGGTATTTTCGCCTCATTTGACCTTAAGTCCACTTTGCCATAGCCCATAAGCCAAATTAATTAAGTTAAATGATCTTGCAATTATAATACCTTTAATTTCATTACAAAAAAGTGTGGTACTTACAAAAAGTCAACAACCTCATAAATCTGAATAATATCTGATTGGTCATTGGAAGATTCAAGTCCAGCAGATTCTTCAGCAGAGGTACTAGGTTGAGGCTCCTGCAACAAGGTGGTGGTGGTAGTGCAATCATCCACATAACTGTCCTCAGAATCATGTAACACCCTCTCAATCTCTTCTTCTTCCTCAGTCAACCAATTTGTTATTGGGTTCATGGTGTCATTTCCTGGTCTTTTTTCTGACACAGGACAAAGGTAGAGATATATTCTGCTATAGCTCTTGCCAAGGCCTTCTTTGTATTTTCTCAGTGTAAATTCGTCTGAGGTATCTTTCTTGCCAATTTCCCATCTTGAAATGGAAGGACATAACCACGATCTCTTGAAAACGTCCTGTCGTAATCTTCCCACTTCTTTAACGCCTTTTCTCTTACCTCATCATAACCCATGTCTTTGGACAACTTCACAGGAAATGACTTACCGCGCTTAACGTTAACGATCACTTCGTCTTTTCCTTTCGTCTCCCCCTGCCGGGCCTTTTTCTTATTTGGCTTAAAATGAGCTTGCCTTTCAGTTTCCTTCTGCTTCATGAACGCTGAAAATGACGGAGGGTTGCTACTAGATGAATCCTGTTTTCTTTTGTTGCTTTTTGCATTCACCGCGCCAGCAGTTTCTGAATTTGTAACTTCGCCTTTCTTCGTTCCGCATGACGGACAGAACGCAAAGGTATCTTGTAATGCATAGCCACAAAGGCAACAATACATTTTGGGGAGAAAACTCGCAACACACGTATGTAAATTATTTAAATTTCCGAATAAGACCTTTGACTGTAACCACTGACTGTAACGCACGTGCTTACGAGTAAGCGAAAAGATAATACAGCCACGGGGACTACTGTTGACAACAGCGTGTTCGCATAATGTCCCAGATGATCCCTAAAAGTCCCCGATGCAACATTTTGTTTTGTACTGAGAGCAATCTTTGTCGCATATCGAGTTTTGTATTCACGTTTCATACAAAATTTTGCAACGTGTTTCGAGATATTTTGTTGTGTATTTCTCAAATTTGTCGTGCACTGAAACTTTTCTACGTGAACTTTTATTTTGATTTGTGTACTGAACATTTTGTTTTGAATTGCGACTTTGGTTTGTGTGTTGCACATAGGGGCCACCGTATCGAAGCAAGACGGTGCAAGCAAAGAAGCTCAAGCCCAAATGCATAGCTTCAAGACTAGCCTTGACTTCGTAAGCGATGAATATGATACTCAAAAATGAATTTAAAAAGTTGAACTCAAGATTAACAGAAATAGCCAAGAAAGTAAACTACGTCAGCGATGCGCTTGAACAGTTGCATCAGTATAGCTATCAGTATAATATCAAAATAGTAGGTCTCCCTCAACAGGATGAAAAGGAATCAGCAAATCAAACCACTACTCTATGTGTAAACCTGTTCCAATCACTTGGAGCTGACGTTGTTTTTAACGATATTGATATCGCTCATCGTGTTCGCAGCAGAAGAGAAGACGGCAAGCCAAGCCCAATTATTTGTAAATTTGTCCGGCGCAATTCCAAAGAAAGTGTTATGAATCAACGCAGAGAAACCAATAAAACCAACCCGTCCGTCAGAATCTTCAATCACCTAACCCCAAAAAACCAACAAATCCTATTTGAAGCAAATAGATTCAAAGCTAAGAATGGCTACCCGAGTACTGCTGGACGAAGAATTCGGCTTTTACTTAAGAAAGGATATTAATTCTCGAGCTATTAGAGTAAATCAACTTCACAACCTTTTGAAATTACAGAACTCAAGTGATGTATCTTCAAGCTAAGTATAATGAAATGTTTGTCTTCTATATATACTAATAACTACTAAAGATGCATGACAATGATAAAATAGATATTCAATTGTCCAAGTCACTATTACGAGAACTGCCATTTTACAATGTTAATAATTCAGTCTTAAGCCAAGTCTTCAGCTTTAACAATAGCTTAACCGCAAACCTTCCCACTTTAAAGACCTTGATAATTATCCTAGTAGGTGTTATTTTGGCTTATTTAATTTAAACACAGCCTCTGATATAAATTTAGACGTAAATTCAAATCAACGGATTTTATTATCTCAATATTATTCACCACACAAATTCAACAGTCTTAAGAAATCACAATCAAATTGTATCACAGATGCCAGTTTCTCCATGCTACATAACAACGTAAGGAGCTTGAAACGCAACTTAGAAAATTTCCAGACTCATTTATAGCAAGAACTTGACTTCAACTTTAGTGTAATTGGAATTACTGAAACTAAAATCAGGGATGATAAATTCATTGACTTTAATCCTGAGATAATTATAAATTTGAATTTGTTCCAACACCACTAGCTTCTGGGGGTGCAGGAATGTACATCAGAAATGATCCGAGTTACACAATTCTAGAAAAAATCTCTAATAAAGCTTTTCAGGCTCTTTGGGTTGAAATTAATTTTAAGAACAAACCGAATATTATATGTGGAGTAGTGTAATAGGCAACATAATTCTCCAGAAAGCTTTCAAGCATATTTTGAAGACACTCTGGTTAACTTTAGCACTTCAGGCTCAAACAAATCTATATATGTAATGGGTGATTTCAACATAAACCTCTTCAAGGCTCAAACTTGTCAATATACTCAAAACGTTTTATTTACTCTTCAAAGTTATGCTTTGACACCAACTATTGACAAGCCTACTTGTCAGCGTGTATAACAATTCAGCAACTGAGTGTATAACAATTCAGCAACTTTAATTGATAATATTTTTGTTGATAAAATTGATAATCCAATCATAAGCCGGAATATTGTGTCACATATTAGCGATCACTTTTCCCAGTTTTGCATCGATCAACCAGACAAATGTCAAACAAAACAACAACAACGTAAAAAAATTCGAGATTTTTCTCATTTCTCAGAGCCAAATTTCAATGCTGACTTAGCACATATTAATTGGAATTCAATAATCACAAATTAAAGAGACAATATAGACAAGTTATTTATTACTTTTTACGATAAAATAAATAATTTAATAAACAAACATGCCCTACTAAAACCTATTTCTAAACGTATGATAAAGCAGTTTTCTAAACCATGGATAGCTAAAGACAAGATTAAAAACAAATTATATTATTCCGCGGACAAAAACAAGTACAAATTATATCAAAATAAAATAACAATCTTAACACGAATTAGTAAAAAATCTTACTTCCACAAATATTTCAATAACAATCTTACAAATATGAAGAAAACATGGGAGGGTATAAATAACTTGATAAAATCGCAAGAGAAAGAATCATTAAACAATCACAGCGTTAAGATGCCCAGTTAAAAAAGAAGTTACCAAGAATCCTAAAGAAATACCTGACATTTTAAACAAACATTTTTCAACCATTGGTGAGAAATTAGCTTCTAAATTACCCAATCCAAGCACACATTTCAGTCAATATCTCATTAACCACAATTATCCCAATTCATGTTTTTTCAAACCGGTTATTCATTCCAAGGTTGAATTCGAAATTACTTCCATGCCTTGTAATAAA